GTGTAGTAACAATAGTTGTCCTTGAGTATCCAGTGTGTTTGTATATGCTCTGGGGAATACGTGTAACTAATGATTTTGTGCAATCCCTAAAGTAATCAGGAATTTCACGTAATCCCTAAAGTATTGAGGATTATGATCCCGAATTATATTATCATTATTAATGGCATGCTTAACCCACCCACCCACGGTAGCATCGTTGTGGTGACCCACTAAAATAACTGCGGTGTGGACGGTAACTAGTACACCTTAATGACTAACGCACCACAACACCTGTACTATATAGCCTACCTGTACTTCCCCCCCAATTACTTGGTTGATTGTTTAATTTGTATTTGTTTTCTTTAAATTCTCATTTGTATTGTTTGGTTTTACACTAAACTTCTCTCTGTTATTAAGCCCCGCACGAGAGGAACTGACTGTCGGTCACCTCCCAAAAAATCAAAAGGATTAATTTTTTACGGGGATTAGCCCACCCGGGCATAGGTCACTGACCCACATCGGGGCCTGGGGGACGAAAATGTAAAATAATAATAATAATAATAATAATAATAATACTAATAATAATAATAATAATAATAATAATAATAATAAATAAATAAATAAAATTTATAATAATAATTATAATAATAATAATGATGATAATACTAATAATTCACAATAATTAAAAAATAATAATAAAATAAATAAATAATAATAATAATAATAATAATTCACAATAAATAAAATTTATAATGAAATTTTTAATAATAAAGACGTACCAAAATTAAGAAAAAAAGATCAAAGTGAGAAACAATTGAGACCTGCAATTGTGTGTAAATGAGGCAGAAAGTCAGATCAGCAACCTGGGATCTGGGTTGGTGTGCGTGTTGAGTGGAGGACCAGGTAATTGATTAGTTGTTTATTTGTTTTGTCTACTTCTCCATTACCTTCCATTAATTATTTGCTTCTTGGGTGAATCAATATTGACTTTCTTACTTATCTCTCCAATCATCTACACTTATTTTGCTTCTTGATTTCTTACTCGATTAATTATATTTCCTTCGTAACAATTAAGAGGAAAATATATTATTATTATTATTATTATTATTATTTACTTTTCTGTTGTTTGTCATGCAATGAAACCTCCATATAACGGACTTCTATCTCCATATAATCCGTGACACGGAAAGGGGGTTTCACATCTAATGGACCCCTCGATATAAAGGACTTTCCTCTCCATATAGTGTGTCAAATAGGGGTTTTATATACCCTGGTCACTCTACCTGTCATCTCTGCTGGTATGGAGGTACTGAGGTATTTCTCCTACCTGACCTACATACCGGCCTGACCTCCTCATCTCCCTCCTCTAACCACAAGAAAAACCCCATCCAGTATCCCCCACTCCTTCCCTTACCTACTCCTCTCTCTCTCTCTCTCTCTCTCTCTCTCTTGATATAAGAACTACGTTTTGTTCTCTACTTCTCTCCTTCCCCCATTCTCTCCTCCAGGTGTCATCTCCTCCCTCTTTCCCTTCCACCAATCCGTCTATCTAGTGTCGTTTTTGAAGGGGAGGGGTGGAGGTGTGGTGGTGGGTGTGGTGGAGGTGTGGTGGTGGGTGTGGTGCGTGATGTGGTGGGCGATTTTCTGTTGTCTTATCTCTATACTGTAGCCTCAGTAAGCCTTGAGACGCAGGTGTTGTGTGTTGATAAGAGGAAGAAACTGATCCAAAGTTATTAGAGACAGTCTCCAGCGGTGACTACATTAATTTACAGCAACACCGTCACTACCTCGGTATTCACGGTTGGCGGGCAGGAGTTGTATCCGGGAGAATGATACTTTTATTTGTCTACTGAAGTACTGTTGTTGTTGTTCACTGTACGACCATTTTACTTGGTGTGAACTTTCCTGAGATGAAAACAGAGAGATCGGGTGCACGAGCCTCACTCACATGACAATTACTCCCCCAGGAATGTTGTCACGTTTTTCTCAAATAATAAAAATAAAAAAAATCCCCTAAAAATTCTCTATTAGTATTTCTTTCTTTTAACTGTATCTGTGTTAGTTTATCGTAATAAATGTTTTGATGCGGGAAGGCCATTAATAATCACCTAGAATAAAGTATATATAATTACAGACACCGTAGAATTTGTGGGTATTTAACTGGGTTCTGGTGTTAAAGGTGATATATATATATATTATGGTGGCTCGTGATGTGAGTATCAACTTTGGTTTCTATTTTCACTTGTTGTGGCGGGAACTGGCTATTAAGTAACATTCCAGAGACAGTGTCAATGTAACCTACGCTGGCCATCACCCTCAGGCGATCAGGGAAAGTGCGGAGAAACTTGGTGTTATTTTGACGTTAATGGAAACTTGAAGGCGGCGAGTCTCCCTAAAGCTGGGTCAGAGGCGAGTGAAGGAAGAATGAATGAAGAACCCCCCCCCACAATACCATTTCCCAGCGTAAGGAAGGAGAGGAAGGGAGGAGAGTAAACTATAGAGGGAGGGATTTAAGACAAGAAAGGAGAGGAGGAGAAATAGTTAAGGATGTGAGACTTGAAGGGAAGGGAGGATGATGAAGGAGGTAGGAAGAAAGATGGGGCAGGGAGGAAGATATTGAAGGGCAGGGGGGGAGGAGGAGGAGGAGGAGAGGTGCGAAGAAAGGGTAAAAATGTGTGAGGGGGAAGGAGGATGAGAGCTGTAAAGAATGGAAGGCGGTAGAGAAATCCAGGAAACATGTTATTGTGGGTGAGAGTCTCGGGAGGTTGATGACAGAAGACGGACGGACAGACAGACGACGGACGGACGGATGGCTGGTAATAATCGTTCACAAGTCGAAAAAATATGCGTATTAAACCGGTTGTGGAGCTACGGGGGCTGGTTGTGGAGCTGTGAGGGCTAGTTGTGGAGCTGTGAGGGCTAGTTGTGGAGCTGTGAGGGCTAGTTGTGAAGCTGTGAGGGCTGGTTGTGGAGCTACGGGGGCTGGTTGTGGAGCTGTGAGGGCTGGTTGTGGAGCTGTGAGGGCTGGTTGTGGAGCTGTGGAGGCTGGTTGTAGAGATGTGAGGCTGGTTGTGGAGCTGTGAGGGCTGGTTGTGGAGCTGTGGGGGCTGGTTGTGGAGATGTGAGGGCTGGTTGTGGAGCTGTGAGGGCTGGTTGTGGAGATGTGAGGGCTGGTTGTGGAGCTGTGAGGGCTGGTTGTGGAGCTGTGGGGCTGGTTGTGGAGCTGTGGAGGCTGGTTGTGGAGCTGTGAGGGCTGGTTGTGGAGCTGCGGTGGCTGGTTGAGGATGTTGTGTGTTAGTTGTGCTCTGAATGTTGATTATTGTGACCAGATGGTTAAAACACCTTGTGACGTGTGTTTGTATGTGTGTCCGCCCTTAGGCCGAGATGGCTCTCTCTCACACTGAACCGTAAAACTGTGGTCAGAAACACCATCTTCTGAGACAACCCATAGCAGCTGCGACGTGGAACTTGGGTCATATAAAACTCACACAGTGTAACATGACACAGAGTAGCTTCATTTATCCCTTTATAGGTGAGGTGAGGGAGGCTGATGAGCGGTGTGAGGGCATAGTAGCATTGAATGGGAAATTGAGGTAACTACTAGTGTTAGATGTTATTATTATTATTATTATTATTATTACTCGAATACAACAACACCATTTTAGCTGTCAATTTTAAATAGTAAAGATAAAAAATAATAAGTTCTCAAATCACGAGTTTAGAGAACAGATTTTGGATGCAAATATTATGTCGTAGATGAATTGTATTTGTTACAGTATCGTCAAACACCTGTCAGGGGGAAGATGTGCTTTCCCAGGACGCTTTGGGAACCCGAGCCTTGTGGACGACGACACGACTCACGGCAGATTGGGAGTAATGGCGCTCTCCACTTTCACCAGGTTCTGTACTGCTCACTGTCCAAGATAGTCCTTCTGTCTCCATCACGCACACACACTCCACCCTCTGGCTTTCAAGAAAGTTGTCGTCTTTCGCTAACTGCTTATACATATATACTATTTCCCCCCATAAACATCTCACATTGGTATTTTTTTTTTATTGGGCACTCCCCTACATCCTTGTGTAAGGTGAAGCGCAGAAGCGTTTACAGCGCCCAACAGGGAAGCATGCTAAGCTCATGCTTGCCTTTATGTCTCATGAGTTAAGGGAGTAGAAGCCTGAAGAGTCAGTGGTTTATGTCATCAAGTCATTGGAAGCTCCAACAACTTGTCCCTGAATACGAATTCGCAACTTTCGACTTACAACAGGTACCTACTTTACTGCTAGGTGAACAGGGACTAATGGAGGCTAGGAAGTTAGTCCAAACAACTTCCACCGGCCCGGGAATCGAACCCGCGACATATCGCTTGCGAGGCAAGAACGGTACCGCTTCTACCACCGGTCCCCCCACATTATCATTGGTAGTCTTTCTTTCGTTTACTCTTGAATTTCCAAGAGTTTTACTCTCCGCCATATAACTGATGTTTCCTCCATTTTCTTATATGGGATTTTTTTTGCTCTTTCTAAAACAGTTTCACTTTATTCGACTTGTTCTCTGTGTAGTGTTCATGGAAACCTTCTTCATCTCACTTAACCTAACTGGGAGTGGTTGGCTATATATCCGGTTCATATAATTATACACTTTCATGTTGCGGTTCTCACAACATCTGGTCAGTAGTGAGAGAAAATATCCTTCTCTCAGTAAAATCGTTACGTCAAATGTTGACATAAATACAAATAGACAAAATAAAAATCTCTTTGAATTTGTCTCTCCTGATAAGATGGAAAAAAATGAATGAAACGAATTGAGAAGGAAACTTAAAATATTGGTAAAGAGGCAGCTATCCCACTACTGGCTGTATGGTCGAAATTTCTATAAAAACATCCACTCCTTAAACCCTTGACCGAGAGTGAGTCATACACCTTCCAGCTCTCACCGTGACTAGTAGAGGTAGAGCACAGGAAGGGGTGGTGGTGTGGGTCTATAAAAGGGGTGTTAACAGACAGGTGATCATCAGTGAGTGAACAGCACCAGCCCACCAACCACGTACTCCTCGCTACACTGTCGCCTCTCAGTACCTCAAATAATGGCCTTCAAGGGTAGGACTGTGTGGCCCGGTGTCTCGGAAAACAAACTGAGAAATGCTCCGGAGTGAAAGACAATTAGTGAACTGTATATACGTATTCATGATTTATATAAGTACAATACCAGTATATCATAGTATTCATGTGCATAAGTAATAGTAGTTCTCATATGTACAACCACCTCCACTTACACCTAGTACAGTAGCTCATTTTTGTGAGATGTGGCAGATCTGTGTTTGTTTACATTGTGTTAAACCCCCCAGAATGGCCTTAAGGAACCTCACTATAGTAGCCAGACTAAGGATGCAACGTAAGCATTCCACACAGTTGCCACATCTCACACAATGTGCCAGCCACTGTACCAGGTATAAGTTCCAGTATCCACAGCACTTCCTCTTTGCATAAAAAAAATGGATCCAATAAGGACAGTGAGAGAACAGCACATACAGTAAAGTCATCGGTACTGCACTTGATCGCTTTCACTTTCCTGAACTGTAAAGTCAGGTAACTATTTACAGCCGAGTGGACAGGGGATTCCCAGGCTGTCTTTCGACCTTCAGGACATCTTACAGTGCTTAGTGAACTTTTAATGTAAAGGTGTGTGTGTATGTGTGTGTTTGTGTGTGTGTGTGTGTGTGTGCGTATGTGTGTGTATATCATTAAAGTTAAAGTAAAGCAATAGATTGTATCTGATGGCGGGGGGAGTGAACACTACTTAACTATTGATGAATTTGTTTTACAGGAATATTCAGTGTGGTGGTGTTGGCTGCGGTGATGGTGACGAGTCACGCGGCAGAACAACAACAGAAGTCCGTGAAGGAGGAGGACCCTAGATTCTTCCTCACTACTACCGGCACCAACCAGTCCGTCACTATAGGCAACGAAACCATTGTCTTCTTCGGCCTCCTCATCCTGGGTCTAATCGTGGCAGCCATAGTCATCCCCTTGGTGTTGACAACCACCGAGGCTTCCGGGGGTTATTCTGCGCCAGCGTGAGTACTGACACCACTACCGAGACATTCTTGTATATAACTTTTACACTTTCGTGCTTTCACACACTCTCACATCATCACATATTCTCACGCCTCAAAATATACTCCCATGCCCTTATACACGACCACTCCCATCATACACAGTACCTGGGGAGGGGAAGGGTGGTGGGATGGGGCGCTTAGAATCCGTGTCAAGAAAGGGAACTCTGGCTGGAGGTAGAAATGGCCTCCCAAAAGCTAAGTTCTGAGATTGCTGTACAGTTGCCACAATTAAGTTCCTCCCGTAATTATTTCATAAACACAAAGACCTCATACGTGACTCCTCTTCAGGCTCTAAAGCTTCGAAACACATCTGCCTCTATGTACCTATTTTATAAACATTATTTCGATCAGTCTGGGTGTGTGTGTGTGTGTTACTGTTGTTATTCTAAGGCAGTGACTATTACACACGACTGATAGTTTCCAGCAATAACTAGACCATACAGGTTACATATAAATCATTATACACTGAACACACTGTGCCGCATGATGTAAATATGTGTTTGTGTGCATGTGGTGACTGTGATACAAACCTCTTGTCATTATAACTTATCGAACGTACTGTATATATGTTTATCAGTTCTCGCCGTTGAGTAGGAACTGAAGGGATTAAGGTTGATTCTTATAAAATTAGTCCTCTTTTGCTAACAATTTGCTAAATATTGATTTGGTATTTTAACAACTAATCATTTTCTCATAGTCTTAACTCTTAATATTTATTCTTTCTTTATAATCCAATTTAAATAATTTGTGTTAACTTAGCCATAAGGGACTAACGAGATAAATACGTTAACAATGTATATATATAAACCTTTAATTGTAATTGGTTGTACATATAAAACTTTTTTATTTATTTTTTGTATATATTTGTAAATACTTACGGACACTGATGATGGGCTGACTTTACCACAACACACAGACGAGAAAAACTGTAGCCTGTAATTAGTGAAACAACACCAACAACGTCTTGTCGAGAATGTAAACTTAACCTTGATCTTTACAATGAAACCTCCATATAACGGACTACTATCTCCATACAATCCGTGAGATGGGGGTTTCACATCTAATGATCCCTCGATATAATGGACCTTCCTCTCCATATAGTCCGTTAAATATATATTTCACTGTACTTTTGTTTCCGAGTATTGTTGTTTAAATACTACAGGAGGAGGGACGGTGTTCAATTTGTTCTTACGGTTTACTTTGAGTTTCACTTTTGGGATCATAAAACTTAGGGGTTTCATTTACTTATTGAGGGTTCCACTAGCTCCGTCACAAACTAGTAAGGGTTCCACTTGCTCCGTCACAAACTAGTAAGGGTTCCACTAGCTCCGTCACATCCAAGGGTACAGTCAGCCTCATCGCCAGCTCAGGGAACTCGTTCTATGTCTGTCTTTAAACTTCCCACTGTTGGCAGCACGAGGTGTCTGCTCTTATACCCAGTATTTCCGTTTTGTATATATCGTCAACATAATTAACTTAACTTCTTCGTCAACACCTTCTATAGGACCTACAGTGCTCCCCACGCCCACGAGGAGAGTTCTTACGCCGTCCAACGCTCTCTAGAGAACGCCGCTAAGAAGTTCCAGTAGTCACCCCAGCCAGCTCCTGCACACGATCAAGTGATCATCAAGCAACACCTCTGCTGGCTACTTTACCATCATCATCCCTTACTTACAAACTCTGTGATTATTTAAATATAAACTATATTCCTTGACCCTCAGTGACTTGTATCATCAATATTTACTCTTCCTCGGACCTACAGTAGTCGCTCTCTGGTAGTAAACTCAGGATCTGTCATGACGGTCTTATCAACTACAACGAGTGATTTACGCCAATCACCTACCGTACAAGACAGGTTGATCAACATCACCTGTGTCAGTATTCGTCTTCACTTCCCAGACAATTTTTTATGAAGTTTATGAGACATGAATGATCTGAGAGCCGCCTCGGGCCCCCATGAACTGAGCCACCCCCGCCCCCATGATCTGAGAGCCGCCCCGGGCACCCATGAACTGAGAGCCTCCCAGAACCCCATGAACTGAGAGCCGCCCCGAGCCCCCATGACTGCCTTACCACAACACCTCTACACTTCCCATAATGAACATCTGTGTAACTGACATCCTCCTTGAGTGTACCCCCATAGACCCACCTCTCATGGAGCTACCGACGCACTCCCCATGACGCACCTCCCATGACACACCTCCCATGACGCACCTCCCATGACGCACTCCCATGACGACGCACCTCCATGACGCACTCCCATGACGCACTCACATGACGCACTCCCTACGACGCACCTCCCATAACGCACCTCCCATGACACACCTCCCATGACGCACCTCACATGACGCATACGACGCACCTCCCATGACGCACTTCCCATGACGCACCTCACATGACGCACCTCACATGACGCACTCCCTACGACGCACCTCCATAACGCACTTCCCATGACGCACCTCCCATGACGCACCTCACATGACGCACTCCCTACGACGCACCTCCCATAACGCACCTCCCATGACACACCTCCCCATGACGCACTCCCCATGACGCACCTCACATTAGACAATCTCCCTAACTTGCTCCCCATAACACTGTCCTCATGAAGTCCCGGCCAATAACACACTTTATTTTGACTCCTCCTGTGTGGTGGTGTACTCTCTCCTGAATGATTTACCTTCCATGACGCACTTATAATCACTCACATCCTATGACGCACTTTCCCCAACTCACCTCCCACGACGCACCTCCCATGACGCACCTTCCATGTCGCACCGCCCTTGCTGCACCTCCCACGACGCACCTTCCATGACGCACTTCCCTTGATGCACCTCCCATCACGCACTTCCCATGACGCACTTCCCTTGATGCATCTCCCAAGACGCACTTCCCACGACGCACCTCTCATGACGCACCTCCCACGACGCACTTCCCACGACGCACCTCCCACGACGCACCTCTCACGACGCACTTCCCACGACGCACTTCTCATGACGTACCTCCAACGACGTGTGTCTCTCGCACCAAGACACAGACCAGCCAGATAATACTGGAGTGTGAGCCATCGAGCAGCAAGGGGGGGCTAGTGCCATAGTGGCTCACCAGACCTACTGCACTCTGCCATAGTGGCTCACCAGACCTACTGCACTCTGCCATAGTGGCTCACCTACTGCACTCTGCCATAGTGGCTGCACTACTGCTTTCTACCATAGTGGCTCACCTACCGTTCTCTACCATAGTGGCTCACCTACTTCTTTCTACCAAAGTGGCTCACCTACTTCTCTCTGCCATAGTGGCTCACCTACTTCTCTCTGCCATAGTGGCTCACCTACTTCTCTCTACTCACTTACAATACCAGGGTTAATTCTTCTCTTTCTGTCAATAGTTTTATAATTTGACGTTCTTCACTGCTGACACTGAAACACTTCACTAATGTTTTTTTCACTGCTGGCGGTGCAACATTCAAACAGTAAATTATGAAAATAGTGAATGTTGAAAACATTCAATAGTTTACCATGTGAAGTGCTCAGTAAAGTTTATTTTCATGTAATATTTTCATCTTCTAAATGGTCAGTCAACTCTTCCATTTGTTATTTATTTAAATTATTAACTAATTATATAATGTTACTCTAAATAAAGTATTCAATATTATAATCTTTTTAATTCGTGTATATCACTGTCATCACTTCCTGTTAATATCCGTAAACGGTACATGGTGTTAGTTATTTTCTGAACAGAGACAAGAGAGGCGGGGTGGCGACCTGAACCACAGAGAAACAAAAATATTAAATGTAGTAATAATTATAAAGACAAAACCGCACAACGTACTGTACCTCTCCTGTGATACACGTCTACAAGAGTAACACAGGTACACCACTCACTGTAGAGTTACAGACTTCTTAACAAACAGTGAATAACAAAGAACTAAAGGATGAATGGGAATATCTTATTAGAAAAACGACCCAAGGTTGAAGAAGGCAGCCACTGGGAGAACATCACATACCGAGCACCTAAACCAAGGACAGTAATAAACTACTACTATTTTCCTGGTGTATGACGATCATCCAGCTATGATGAAATGATATGAGTTATTAAGATGTCACCTTCGTTAGTGAGCTCTGAGGTCACTAGCGAGGCCAATACGAGACCGACAGGGTCGTTCACAGGTGTGGAGACAACCCCACCGTGGACAAGAACGCCCTGGATACGTCTAAGAGAACACCAACTGCCCTGGAGGGAACTCGTCTGCCCAACAGTGATCCTCCTCATGCCGAGACTTTCATCTGGCTGCCACAAACTCCTCCTTAGGAACCTCGACCCTCACTACTGTGTTGTGCTGTGCTGTGCTGTGTTGTGCTGTTTTGTCCCAAAATGATCACAAACTCCGGGAAGACAATGTTCTGAAGTTCGTTAGTGCTCGGGCCGGGGTTCATGCAGTGAGACACTTGTACACGCAAAGTAACATTGTAATCCAAAGACGGAATACTTGATACATACTTCGTCCCTCACCTAAAGAGCTCGACGGTGTGTTCAGGCTGTGATGTGTGAGCTTGTATGTGAGTAACATGAATAAGAACTGTGCAAATTGAATAAAAGCAGGGGGGGGGGGGGACGACAATGCCAACCTAGAATTCAGGGAAAATAATACCAATTTTCCGTGAAGGATCCTTATTGTTTCCTCTGAGGTGAAGAGTTTTCTAATTACGTCAACCAGACGAGGTACAGTGTGATAGGAACAGCATTGCAATGGATGTGTGTACAACAGTAGAGTTACCCTGAGACCAAAAGACGTTTTCTCTATACTTATCTTGGTCATGTCTCTGTCTCGCCTATCACCACCACACCCGACAACACCACCACACACCCGACAACACCACAACACACCTGACAACACCACACACCCGACAACACCACAACACACCTGACAACACCACACACCAAACAACACCACCACACACCTGACAACCACACACCTGAGAGACTGACAACACAACCATATACCAAGTGTTATAATCAGGCACTGTACTATATATAATAACTATAATGGCCCACCAAACTCCCTCAAGTATTAGTATCACCGTCGGCGGAGACACAGCTTCAGGTGCAATAATAAGGCGACGAAGGACAGCCACACTCTGCACCCGAGTTTGGTACACCAAGCCAAGCCTTTGACGTCCTGTACCACCACAAGAAACGTCCTAGAGAGGTCAATTCTCGTGACCACGTTAGCTATATTACGGGACACTCTCCCAGTCCATCGTGTGTGACAGTCAGCGGCAACACATCAGGCGGGAAAGTTTGATGTGTTGGGCGGCAAGACTTATGTGCGAGTGTCTGCATGAGTGATGACCTCACCATCATCTCTCTTAGTTTACAATATATATGTTATTGGTAACTATTCTGCCGGCAACCCCCTGTATAAATAACTATAATCATTCATTATAATTAGCCACAGTAATATAATAGCTATAATCAACCACTGTACTGTATATAATAATTATAATGAGGATAATTAAGTTCTGGCTTCTATCATCATCGTTATTACATCACAGTTTCATTAGTAAAGTCATATTATTCTGTATCTCTCGGTGTCATTATGTGTGACAACACTTTTGATACAACTAATAATATAAAGGTGTAGGCCGCCCCCACCAGGTGTAGACCGCCCCCACCAGGTGTAGGCCGCCCCCACCAGGTGTAGGCCGCCCCCACCAGGTGTAGACCGCCCCCACCAGGTGTAGACCGCCCCCACCAGGTGTAGGCCGCCCCCACTAAGGTGTAGACCGCCCCCACCAGGTGTAGGCGGCCCCCACCAGGTGTAGACCGCCCCCACCAGGTGTAGGCCGCCCCCACCAGGTGTAGGCCGCCCCCACCAGGTGTAGGGCGCCCCCACCAGGTGTAGGGCGCCCCCACCAGGTGTAGGCCGCCCCCACCAAGTGTAGGCCGCCCCCACCAGGTGTAGGCCGCCCCCACCAGGTGTAGGCCGCCCCCACCAAGTGTAGGCCGCCCCCACCAAGTGTAGGCCGCCCCCACCAGGTGTAGGCCGCCCCCACCAGGTGTAGACCGCCCCCACCAGGTGTAGACCGCCCCCACCAGGTGTAGACCGCCCCCACCAGGTGTAGGCCGCCCCCACCAGGTGTAGCCGCCGCCCCCACCCCCCACCAGGTGTAGGACCGCCCCCACCAGGTGTAGACGCCCCCACCAGGTGTAGGCCGCCCCCACCAGGTGTAGGCGCCCCCACCAGGTGTAGGCCGCCCCCACCAGTGTAGGCCGCCCCCACCAGGTGTAGGCCGCCCCCACCAGGTGTAGGCGCCCCACCAGGTGTAGGCCGCCCCCACTCAGGTGGCTGCCCCCACCAGGTGTAGACCGCCCCCACCAGGTGTAGACCGCCCCCACCAGGTGTAGACCGCCCCCACCAGGTGTAGACCGCCCCCACCAGGTGTAGGCCGCCCCCACCAGGTGTAGACCAGTGTGTTATTATAGTGACAGGTGAGCGCGATCATCATCAGTGTTAATGTTACCATCAGTTCACTGGTTCATAAACAACTGTTAACTTCGTACAATGTTTCGTCTTCAAACACTATATTCCTGTATCTCTCCATGATACTGTCAGCGTCACGGTGTCAGCATCATGGTGTCAGTATCACGGTGTCAGTATCACGGTGTCAGTATCATGGTGTCAGTATCATGGTGTCAGTATCACGGTGTCAGTATCATGGTCGGCTGACAATAGAAAAGAATCATTACCACGGGCACAACAATAAGGGACTGCCGCCGCTATATATAGTATGTAACCACTAAACATAGTTCCTTCTCTCTCTTGACTTAGTTTTTAGACAACATATGTGCAGGCAGAGTGAACCATCTACCATCTGCAGTGTGTAATAACTCTGTGGCTCAGCTGCAGGTCTTCCTTCAGCTATATAAAGGCAGGAAGTGAGGTAAAGGGTGTCCAGTTGGAAGGGAACAGCCAGCCTTATCGTGCACCTTGACAGACACACGCACTCAACACTCAACAAAATGGTGTTTAAGGGTAAGTTCTTTACTCGCTTCTTGTAGTAAATTACACAAGTTTGGTTTCAAAGATCGAAAAAAAGGTGAATTTTAAAGTGTAATAACAGGCCTGACGTTGTTGAGGTGTAGGGAGGAGAATCACTAATGAAAGGAAATGGATAAAAGACTCATAGCAACGTTTTTTTTCATACTAGAATAGCGAAGACAATAAAAAGCGTGAGGTCGTGTTATCACCAGCCGCCATTTACCTACACAGGAATGTTGGTCGTGTTAGCAGCATTGGTCGCCGCCAGCCATGCCTCAGAGACCAAGCAGCTGCCAGCAGAGGTCGGAGAGGAGGACCCACGTCTGGTCTTCTCAGTCACTAACCCCAACCAATCAGTGGTGGTGGCCAACTCAGGGATGGTGATAGTGGGTCTTCTTGTCCTGATGACTGTGTTGGCCATCGTCGCTGTCAGTATAGGGGCGCGAGGGAGACAGGAGACTAGTAGCTATCATGAGCCCATGTGAGTATTGTTATGTTCTGGCTACTGCTGTCACATACTCTCACCCCAGTCACACACACGCTCTCTCACGCCCCACACACTCTCTCTCACGCCCCACACATACACTCTCGCGCCCTCCTATACACTCTAACATACACTTAAGCCCACCAGGGTCACCAAAATAATGAGTATTTAGTTAATCTACAAAAACTGCTTATCCACAAACTATTATACCACAAAAGTTATTCACGTGATCATTTTATCACCACCTTAAGGTCTTCTGTGACCCACCATAAACATCATTACATTACTTAAGGTTATTTTAATACAGTTAAGCAGGTACAGTATAAGAAGTCACTTGTTGAGTCTATTGTAAACATTGACGAAATACTTTATATGGAACTTCCCGTCTCTCAGAACTTACGGCGCCGCCCCCGCCTACCAGGAGGAGAGTACCTACGCCATTCACCGCTCTCTGGACGACGCTGCCAACAAGTTCCAATCATAACTATACTGTAGGTCGACCAGTCTATATAACAGCTGATTCTCCTGCCATGAAAGCTGCCCAGGCTACAGAAACAGACACATACTCACATACACACTCTGACGCTCTGACACACACACACACAGACGCCCTGACACACGCACTCTGACGCCCTGACACACACACTCTGACGCGCTGACACACACACACACACTGACGCCCTCACACACACTCTGACGCCCTCACACACACTCTGACGCCCTCACACACACTCTGACATCCTCCTAAACATAAACATATCTTGCGGGTCCTTCTCTTATCACCTGCCACTAATTAATATGACTCACCTGATGCTGCCGTGATACATGACCCATGGTTTAGTGTCTACCAGTAGGACACATGACCTATTACTGTGACACATGACCTGTTACTGTGACACATGACCTATTACTGTGACACATGACCTATTACTGTGACACATGACCTATTACTGTGACACATGACCTATTATTGTGACACATGACCTATTACTGTGACGTAAGCTTGAATACACCAACATATCTTGAACACCATGAAAGTTGCTCAGGCTGCAGAAACGGACCGACTCTCCTACACACACACATACGCACTCACGCTTGAAGGTGACTTAACAAATATACTGTATACCACTCTGTATAACATGTTAATTACGAATATCTCATACTTATTTATTTAACTTATTTGATTGTATATCTGATGTATAATATTGTAAATAAATTATTCATTCATGTTTTGTGTTAGTGAATCATGACGTTACTCACTGCCTCTGAAACAAGAATTATTCATGATTATTATAACTTATTCCTGAAAGCTTTAATTTATAAGGTAATATTTAATGGTGGGAACAGTGCTGTAATTATTAGGGTTTAAGTGAAGGAAACTCTCGCCTTAAGTAGCACCGAGCAACACACAACAGCGGGAACAACTGACGCAGCTGAGCACAAAGTTATCATCACTCGACCTAAGAGAACCATTTAAACAGCATTTGAAAACTCTTGTCAACTATACTGTACACATGACCCCCCCCCTTACACACACACACACACGTCGTTGTCTGTTGTATAACGAGACATAGGACCACTGGACGAAGGTAATGTATTGTTTCTAAAATCCTATAACCTATTAAGTGACACTGTCTCTCTCATCTGTCTCTGTGACACTGTCTCTCTCATCTGTCTCTGTGACACTGTGTCTCTCAGCTGTCTCTGTGACACTGTGCCTCTCAGCTGTCTCTGTGACACTGTGTCTCTCAGCTGTCTCTGTGACACTGTCTTCCTCAGCTGTCTCTGTGATACTGTCTCTCTCATCTGTCTCTGTAACACTGTCTCTCTCATCTGTCTCTGTAACACTGTCTCTCTCATCTGTCTCTGTAACACTGTCTCTCTCTCATCTGTCTCTGTAACACTGTGTCTCTCAGCTGTCTCTGTGACACTGTCTTCCTCAGCTGTCTCTGTGACACTGTCTCTCTCAGCTGTCTCTGTAACACTGTCTCTCTCATCTGTCTCTGTAACACTGTCTCTCTCATCTGTCTCTGTAACACTGTGTCTCTCAGCTGTCTCTGTGACACTGTCTTCTCAGCTGTCTCTGTGACACTGTCTCTCTCATCTGTCTCTGTAACACTGTCTCTCTCATCTGTCTCTGCTGTCTCTCAGCTGTCTCTGTGACTCTCTCACTGTCTCTCTCATCTGTCTCTGTGATCACTGTAACACTCTCTCATCTGTCTCTGTAACACTGTCTCTCTCATCTGTCTCTGTAACACTGTCTCTCTCAGCTGTCTCTGTAACACTGTCTCTCTCAGCTGTCTCTGTGACACTGCCTCTCTCATCTGTCTCTGTAACACTGTCTCTCTCATCTGTCTCTGTAACACTGTGTCTCTCAGCTGTCTCTGTAACACTGTCTCTCTCAGCTGTCTCTGTAACACTGTGTCTCTCAGCTGTCTCTGTAACACTGTCTTCCTCAGCTGTCTCTGTAACACTGTCTCTCTCATCTGTCTCTGTAACACTGTCTCTCTCATCTGTCTCTGTAACACTGTCTCTCTCATCTGTCTCTGTAACACTGTCTCTCTCAGCTGTCTCTGTGACACTGCCTCTCTCAGCTGTCTCTGTGATACTGTCTCTCTCATCTGTCTGTGACACTGTCTCTCTCAGCTGTCTCTGTGATACTGTCTCTCTCAGCTGTCTCTGTGATACTGTCTCTCTCATCTGTCTCTGTTCATCACCATGTCTCCAGTTATCAATGTGAGACAGCTGTTGGCAGTACCGTCTTAGGGTCCTCGTCCAGTACCACAGCTGCGTCAGACACTACTTCATCCTCACAGCTGCGTCAGACGCTATCTTATCCTCACAGCTGCGTCAGACACTACTTCATACTCACAGCTGTGTCAGACACTATCTTATCCTCACAGCTGCGTCAGACACTGCCTCATCCTCACAGCTGCGTCAGACACTATCTCATCCTCACAGCTGCGTCAGACACTACCTCGTCCTCACAAGTGCGTCAGACACTACCTCGTCCTCACAGCTGCGTCAGACACTACCTCGTCCTCACAACTGCGTCAGACACTACCTCATCCTCACAGCTGCGTCAGACACTACCTCGTCCTCACAGCTGCGTCAGACACTACCTCGTCCTCACAACTGCGTCAGACACTACCTCATCCTCCTAACGACTAAGTAAACTATTAGACACCAGTTAAATTGTCAAAGGAGCCGCCAAGCTGAGAGGCTGTAGACGTGACCTCACGTGACAAGTGACACGGGCACTTGTGATCTGTGAGTTGACACACACAATAAAATTAAAAGTTTTAAGATGCTTATTTTACTTTCCCCATAAAAAATTAAAATTAAAAAAATCCGGGAAGCAAATTTCCTAAAAAAAAAAAGTTTCCGGGCAAGAAAATTAAAAAAAAATAACGTGAACGGGACACTACACAGCCGGGACTCTGTGATGCCAGACTTCCGTCCTAGTTTGCTCAGGGGATAACGGAAGGCCGTCCGGTGTGTGTAGTCACATCAAGCAGGCGCCGCCAGTCAAAAGCTTTCCTTTTAATGTTTTCATTCAATTTAACACCAACCACAAGACCAACCACAACACACCAACAACACCAACCACAAGACCAACCACAACACACCAACAACACCAACCACAACACCAACCACAACACCAACAAGACCAACCACAACACCAACCACAACACCAACCACAACACACCAACAAGAACACCGCCACCACCAATAACATTCATGAGGTAACCTATAACTATCTGGCCGCTCTCATACACACACCAGCTGACTCCTACAGTGTACACAGTGTCTACATATACACACTAAGTGGTCTGAGGATGACCAGTCTGGTGCCAGCAGCCGAAAGGTGAGGACTCAGTTTACCTCTCTACTCCTAATCACAAGATGGCCCTATATACGACTATATCATCAACAAGTATGTGTGTATTGTTATCATCACGCACAGGTTACATGCAGCAGCTTCTTACATACATGAATTTACATCTAATTTGTATTTTATTTTAATTATGTGAGATTATATGATATTTAATAAGAAAATGATCCATCATCATTAACTGTGTTGCTTATACTATCAATTATTCCATATTGTTCCCATAATGAGTTGATTGACCCTAACAGTGAGTGTGTGTGTGTATTCTCCAACATAACTATACTCCTCTCATTAACCTTCATCACCTCACCCACATGACCCCAATCACCTCAGTTGCTTCTTTAATCAGCTTTACGGTAATGCAGGAATGTTAGTCGTCGTGTTGGTGTTCCTTGTCGCCATCAGCCACGCTACAGAACTCCACGAACAGAAGACGGAGGTAAACAAACGACTCTTCCTCGATGGATTAAACACCATATTCTCTATCGGTGACCCGGTAGTGGTTATGGTGGGAATGATGACCTTATTCGTAGTGACGGTGGCAGCGATCATAGCCATTATTTACCGAGACAGGGACACGACCTCCTCCTTCACCGGCTACTACTCCCCATCTGCGTGAGTACAGCGCCACCTGTGATCGTCTTAACACAACCTTGACGACAATCACATGGGAACTTAATCATTTGTTCTATGGAAAATTTAATTAAAGTGTGGGCCTCACGTTACACTAGCGTCTCTTACAGTACACAAGTGACACTTTAGGCGGTCGAGGGGATACAACACTCGCCATTCGTTCTAAGCATAGCTGGATCGATCTCAGGGGAATATATAATGCAGTACCGGCCACACTACCTCCTTGTGCACCAAAGTCTTACAGAACAGTGTATTGTATGGAGACTATCCCTGTGTTAATAATGATCTTCAAATTCTATACATGAATGAAAATAGAACCAATTCGCGGTGTGTATACATAGCTGTTATTAGTTGCTGTTAATTTGTTTTGGATATGAATAATATTGTGAACTTCCTCGACAGGTCTTACGCCTCACGCCCCATCTACACCAGGAACGCCTACACGGCCCACCGCTTCCTGGAGGAGGGCGCCAACAAGTTCAACTAGACACGAGCATCAGTGTTCTAAGATGACCAAGACCACCTCTAGATCTGACGACTGACGCTACCTCATGTGTCTTTACCTCACTTCCTGCTCAACTCATCTCTTATACTAGAGTGTTACACTAATGATGTTACCTGGATCTTGTACCTGCTGTTTTATTATTATTTATATAAGATTTTTTTCATAAGATTTGTTTTGGTGTAATTTAATTCAGATTCGAGTTTATTTAATTGTGTGTTAAACAAAGTGAAGGTGAGATGATCAGCTCACTCACGAGTTGACCAAATGTCGGGGAGTCACACCTGTACACAGTAATATACACGAGAGAAGCAACACTATGTTACACTGACGAAGGTCACTCCTGTACACAGTAATATACACGAGAGAAGCAACACTATGTTACACTGACGAAGGTCACTCCTGTACACAGTAATATACACGAGAGAAGCAACACTATGTTACACTGACGAAGGTTACACCTGTACACAGTACTGTACAGTAGCTAAAACAACTATCTGTGCATACTTTGTGGGAAAGAATATGAGACCATGGACGATAAATATTGGTATATGAGGGCTGTCACTAGTCACACGGAGCATATCGACCCCCACCTGCACAGATAGTTGTTTTAGCTACTGTACCTGAGAGAGGCAACACAGTTTTACACTGACGGAGACCACGACGGATGATTTCTTACCCAACACAGTTTTGTTGTTTATGTCCTGACTGTTGTTAACTAATGGACAGTTATTGCAAGTAATGTGAACATGTCCTCAATAACTGGACAACTATACAGAGAAATAACAGCTAACACCTGAACCTGCAACACAAACACGTTGGAACACAGTTAACACCTGAACCTGCAACACAAACACGTTGTTACAGTCAGCCAGTCCTGTCATCTCTCCTCCTGTTCCCACGAACACCGAGACTGAGGTTCGTGAACCCGGGACATTTAAGGAGAGAATAATGCATCATTGTTTAATGTTTTGAGTTCACGAGACTGAATATTGGGGCTGATAGTTCAGGAGGAGAAACGACAGTACTTGTGAGTGACTGTACTGAGACTCGTGAAACACTTGATGGAGTCTGTAGAGTAGAGCACATTACTTGTTCCTTAATAACTGTTTTAGGTTGTAATATGTTTAGTTAGTAAAAGGGCTAATACTTCCTCCTCAGTCTCTCCATATAAGTGTGATTAATTACCGTCAAGAGTAAGTTAATACCTTGTATGGTGTGGTCAACACGTCACGCCCCGACACACTCTCCCTCATCCTCACCATAGTTATCCCTTACTGGCACTAATCAACCTGTCTATATGATCTATACAGTCTCAGAGAAGTTCCATCTCCATATATGTTGTGTACATGAAGTGAGTCAGATCTATGAGTTGGTTAACCTCCATCATGAGAGAGGGAGAGAGAGAGAGAGTTATTCTATTACAAGAACTTTGCTTCATTTCGTTTGATTTAATGAATTTATGTGACAAAAATCACTTCGCAAATATAGGAAGTTTGAAACTAACAGAATGTTTGAAATAGACAATAAGGAGCAACAGGGGTGTTGGCGGTAGTGCACTTGCCTCTTATTATTGCGTCCCGGGTTCGATCCTCAGATCAGCTGTGACACTACCAAACTCGGCAGGTTTTCTCCGTGCACTGCTGTATTAACACTGGACAATGAAGGTTGTAACAAACAATAGGTAAACCGACTACTGGCGAAAACCATAAAAAAACAAAAACATTATGACGACTCACGGATGGTGTTGGTGCCCTCTCCCCCCTGGAGGAGTCCTCACCCCCTTACCTCACCTGAACACCTCTTGCATCTACTAAGAATGTTACCTTTAACAAACGATCGTGAACATAAAACCTGGAAACCTTTTCTATTATTCTTAAAACAAAGACGAAAAGACAACAGGTGCCAAATATTCCTCTGGAGAAATGTTAGAAAATTTAGAACAGACTATAAACGGTTTTTACGAGAGGAAGTTGACCACTGGCGCGGCGAGACAGTGGGGGCGGACGGTCTGTCTGATGTGATCTCTGTTATTTCATCACCAAACAATAACACTGTGATCTTATAGTACAGTGGGTCACGCTGCTTATATACACCACTAACTACTGAAAGTGGTGACAACATGAGGTCCTGTGATACATCCAAGTCTTAGTGTTTAATATTATCAAGATAATGAAAATGTTCCATAAGATTTATTATTCTCTACCCAAGACCAGAGACAACATGTATGAGGGCTGGTATAGTACATGGAGAGTTTATCAATACATGAGAAAATGGTCCCTCACACGACACCCATTAGCTCGGATATTACGAGAAAAAAAATATTAACCTGGTGACGTCATTTATTTTTGATGTTGCTTTATTAAAGTTATGAAAAATTAACACATTACAAGATGATCTAGAACACCTGGGTAAAATACGTCAGCAGACTCTGTAAAGTTGTGCTCAACGGTAACCATAAACAACGGCACGACGCCTAATGAGACTCAGGAATATAGTCCGCCAAGTTTTCAGTTGATGTGTTGTAGTTTGTGTATCAACAGGTACAGGTGTGTGGGGGGGGAGGGGCCAGGGGGTTGTGGAGGGCCAGGAGTTTGTGGGGGTGGGGGGGCACGGGGTTGTGGTGGGCAGGGGGTTGTGGAGGGGCCAGGGGGTTGTGGAGGGGGCCAGGGGTTGTGGAGGGGGCCAGGGGTTGTGGAGGGGCAAAGGCACTGTGGAGGGGGACCAGGGGATTGTGGAGGGGGGCCAGGGGTTGTGGAAGGGCTAGGGGGTTGTGGAGGGGCCAGGGGTTATGGAGGGGCCAGGAGGTTGTGGAGGGGGCTAGGGTGTGAGAATCAGGTGACTGAGTTCTTATAGGAGTGAAGATGACATTTTAAAACCTGGTACCGATATGATGTGTGTGTGTGTGTGTGTGTGTGTGTGTGTGTGTACAATAATTAATGGTACTTTCAGATAACATGAATCATCAACACATATGAACCACAGGACCTCGAACCCACTGTATGAACTCATCTCAATGGGCATAGGATACAGGGTAGGATGGGATATACAGGGTAGGATGAGATATACAGGGTAGGATGGGATATACAGGGTAGGATGGGATATACAGGGTGGGATGGGATATACAGGGTGGTATGGGATATAAGTTTATGCTTGGAACTAATCATTACCGCCAACGTTTCTCTCTGTCGCTGTACACATGAGCACTTCGGGTGAGTGCTTGACCATCTGGAGAGGTAACTGATCGGTCGCCGCGCCAGATCTACACTTAGTCTATATAAAAGGTGGGGGCCGAGGAAAGTTTTTTAGTTTGGTTGTGGCGGCCGGAGGGTGAGTTGGTCTGCTGCAGTCCCCGCCTCATGGCCTTCAAGGGTAGGCTGTCGTGTGCCGTCTGAAGTGAGCAATGTACACATTTATTTTTATTTTTTTTCATTTAGTGACACAAGAAATGAATCATATAATAACACTTGGTAGAATTTATGGTTGTTATTTAATGTTTGACAATAGTTGATTTCTTAAGAAGTTCTTGAAGGTGAATAATATATTTATTTTAGTGAGCGCAACAGTAACATTATATTGAGGTGAGCACTGGTGTGTGTTCATGGTAGGAGCCCGTGTGGTTATGTGAACACTGGTGTGTGTTCATGGTAGGAGCCCGTGTGGTTATGTGAACACTGGTGTGTGTTCATGGTAGGAGCTCGTGTTGAGATGAGCACTGGTGTGTGTTCATGGTAGGAGCCCGTGTGGTTAAGTGAACACTGGTGTGTGTTCATGGTAGGAGCCCGTGTGGTTATGTGAACACTGGTGTGTGTTCATGGTAGGAGCTCGTGTTGAGATGAGCACTGGTGTGTGTTCATGGTAGGAGCCCGTGTGGTTATGTGAACACTGGTGTGTGTTCATGGTAGGAGCTCGTGTTGAGATGAGCACTGGTGTGTGTTCATGGTAGGAGCCCGTGTGGTTAAGTGAGCACTGGTGTGTGTTCATGGGAGGAGCCCGTATTGCTAAGTGATTATGATTATTGTGTTGTTTTAAAAGTGAGTAATTAGCAGCAGTGTGTGTGTGTGTGTGTGTGTGTGGTAAAATTACGTTTAAATTAATACACTGAATACATTATGCTTTAAAAGTCGTATAAAATTAATCATTCTTGTTGACCTAAAGTAACGTTGGTGAGCGTGGCGGTGGTGGTGTTGGTTTCCGTCACCCAGGCAGACCAACTCCTACAGCAGAAGGAGCAGACACACCAACAGCAGAAGGATGAGGAACACCAACGGCTCTTTATCACCGGCAGTAGTGATTCTATCATTATCGGCAATTACTCCATGTTCGCGGTGGCCATGTTCTCCCTGCTGGTGGGGGCCGCCATCCTCCTCTCTGTGGTGGTGAGGTCCGGCAGAGAAGGAGAGACAGACTACATCACCCCCACGTGAGTACTACTGCTGGTGGTCGCTCCCAGCACCACACTACAGGACTTTATTACCATGTTCACATAACTCCCCCACACTCAACACAACACATCATACCCTTAACACAACGCAAGGCAACACAATGTAGAGCAATGCAACGAAATAACAACGCATCGCAACACACACCATTAACTATACAAGATAGAAACATTAGTCACAAGTCAGTTCGCCCACATCACCACCTGGTCACCAATATCGTCTTCCCCATCAGCGTCTACGGCGTGCCAGTCCCCCGTTACGACGAGATCGTCTCCATGGTCAGTCGCTTCCTGGACACACCCGCCGATCAGTATGAGTAACAACATCTGCCACGCCTGCGTCAGTAGTGTCGCGTCATTCACTATACTAGCATGCTAATGAGGTGGTTGTCAGTCTTATGTCACCTTTTATGTATAAATTTTACGTAAGACGTAAATGTTCAGTGTGTAAATATATATTGCAAAGTTGTGTAAATGTACTTAATGTTGTTGTGTGATATAAAATGTATCCTATTGTAAATAAAAATTATGTAGCCATTCTTTTCGTATTTTATTCACATAGTTATTTGATGCAGATTGCTCATTCAGAAAATAAATGAATGACTATTGTTATCGTAAGTAGTGTGTACAGTCGCTTACACCTGACAGTGGCTGCTGCGTTGTGTGAGCTGTGCCAACTATTGTGAGGATCCTTACGGCTGACTCTAGTAGAGTCTAGACGCTTCTTTATACATCATTTATTATTATAACACGAGTAGTTGACAGCGACCTACCACTCACCCTCCAGCTTGGAGAGATTGACAGACCAAGTTGAAGGAACACTAACAACAAAAACTGAACACCTAGAGTTTCTTAGGAAAAAGTTGATAGAAATATTAAACTTGTAAATAACAGAAGGGATAAATATGGGTTTAGAGAAGGTGCTTTGGAACCGCTAAAGATAAAAATGGAAATGAAAAAAAAATCGCATTTCATTCCTCTAACTTTAAGACAATATAGTGACGAGAGACAGACAGCAACAGACAAAGTTAACTTCCTGCTAAAAGACTAATTACCCAGTGTTTTAATTTTTGTCTGAAAATAAAAACTATGATCACTATTTTAATAGGGTTTGATTATTCCCAAGATGATCCATGTAACTCATCCTTAACACCTTAACTGAGAGCCAAGTGAAGATCTTAAATACAGTCTTGTAGTTTATTAGTGACGTAATGACTGACCTCGTTACCTGAGGGAGCAGGTGTCACCCCAGGCCGTCCTCACATTACCTGGGAAGATGTACAGTCAATCACTAGACTGTTCCTGAACCACGAACCCTTAAGAGATTCAGACTCATGAATCCGAAGCATTTATGGACAGAATAATATTGTAGTCTATTGCTTCCGGGGAGAAGACTCGACTAGTTGACTATACAAGTACTGTCTTCAGGCCAAAAAGGTGTTGACCGAATTTTAAAACTTTGTAGGTAAGAAGAATCTTTAACGTAGATTGAAGCTTTAGCCGTTCTAGAGGACGTATTTAATGTAATTATTGTCGTAACTCCCGTGACAAGAGCCAAGTCATGCTGACGCCTGACCTCCCTCCTCCAGGAAACTGAGAGCGCCGGCTGGTAGTTTGTTCTGGCGGCAACACTCTGGTCTCTCGTCTTGATAAGTGGGAAAAATCGCTTTGATCTTTAGCCACGAGAATAGTGGGAAGTGATTGATAAACAACGTGAAAAGTTAAAGAAGAAGAAACAGACAGACAGGTGGATAAACAGACAAAAATACTAGAGAAAGAAAGAGCGCGACTGGGAAGAACACAGGTTACCCCCCGCCTCCGTGCTTACCGGAAGTAGAGAATCAGAGAAGAGGAAGAGAGAAATAAAGAAGGGAAGAGAAACGAAGAATTAAAAGCAGACAACAGAGACAATCATGCAGCTTACTTCCACCTCACAACACCACACGACCCCTGGCCCTGGCCCTGGATCGTTCTTGCATGCCTCGTTATGACCCACTTTCAGCAACTAGGTGTATTGTGTGTGTGCATGGGTCGGCCACCACCAGCCGCCGGTGCCATTGTAAAAAGCTCACAGGAAATATTTATGCTTGTGATTGTTAGCTAGAGACTGATATGTAGAATAATGGTGAGGGAAAGAGACAGATAAGCAGATAACAATGGAGAGAATGACAGACATCGAGGAATATAGACGGAAGGATCAATAAGAAGTGATGCATAAAACAGAAAGAAAAAGAAAGGAGTAGAAGTGCCCGAAGAGAAAGTAGGGTGGATGACCCAGCCTGTGACCCCAAAACAAAAGAAACGCGGGCTTGATGCAGGGCACAGCGGCGTACATATAAGACGAGGGCACCACCTCCTTCGCCAGTCTCCCGCCTCCTGCCGCCCGCCCTGCTCCTCGCTACACCTACCCGCCCTTAACACCTTAGTAAAGACTATAGTGTTACTCGCTCGACCAACTATATACCTGGTGTCTGCTGCACGCTCCTACACCCATCGTCCATCACACCAGTACTCACCCACTACCGCCCATCTCTTACGCCCGCCGCCCGTGATTTGTGTTACCTCATTACTACACCCACATCTTAACTCTGCTACCATGCACGCCCGTGGTAAGGACAGCAAGGGCAATACTCATGTGTACTATATGTGAATTCATTAAAAAGTGTTTAATTGAATCAGAAGCAAAATAGTACAGGGCATCCAAGTTCCTGTGTGTGTGTGTGTGTGTGTGATGCTAAGGATTCATTAGGTGTAAACATATATTAATTACTACTTCAAGCGCCTCTGGATCGAGATATTCATTTAGTCATTCCGCCTCAAGGATGACTGCAGAATTATGATCAGTTTATAGTTTAGGGTAAAGGTTGACCTTGACATACTCGAGGACCAGACGTGAGCCTCTGTATCTAACTGTCCGTAATGTTCTCTGAGCTGTCAGTTAGGTTTGACACAGTAGCCAGTCTTCTTAATTACGGAAGAACCTCCTTGAGAAAGAAGGTAATTATTCTGCCTCAACACACGTCATCAACTTAACCATCAATAACTCGTAGCTTAGCCACGACAAACACCAACTTTTGGGTTATGAATCTTGACAAACTTTCATACACGTGTCGTTCATCTACCAGAGTATTGTGTTACAGTTCTGGCAAGGTTTCACTATTTGTCCCCAGTGCGTGAAATTCACTATGAAGCGCTACACAAGTTATTAGTCCCCTTAAAACGTGTATTATTGCTTCTGAATTAATAAGGTGAAGGGAAATTATAATAATGAAAATGACGATGATAATACCTGTAATATTAATCAACAGCTTATTTAACCCATTCAGCGGCCATAAGCGGACACAGTTCAGTACAACACGTGAACACATAAATCATCTACGAGTTGATGGTGATTCTTACAATGGTTGGAATGCTGGTCTTATAACGATCATTACGTGACGTTAGTTATGTGAGCGTGTACGTTCGTTATGCGAGTGTGTACGTTCGTTATGTGAGCGTGGGTGTTATTTCTTCTTTATAAATGATTCAGTAAACACTTGAACGAAGTAAAGAATAATGATATAACTACTATATATCTCGCCGGCAGGCATGTTACTCGTGTTGGTACTGACGGCTATCACGGGCCAAGCAGCAGGGAGCCAGACGGCACCAGTAGCAGCATGGAGCCAGGCAGCAGCAACAGGTAGCCAGGCAGCAACAGTAGGGAGCCAGACAGCAGCAGTAGGGAGCCAGATCACTGACAAGAGCCAAACAACAGGGAAGAGCTTCCCCTACACCCCGGCGGCCATAGCTCGACAGTTGCTCACCTTTGGGACCCTCGACAACGTATCTGTGACTCTCGACTTTAATGCCATATTCAGCTTCATCTCTCTGATTGTGGCGGTGCTCGTAATAGCTGCCATCATCGGTGCTTTAGGCGTGGGTTTGGGCCTGCTAGGGGGCAAGTGAGTATACTGTATATATAGGTAGAAGGGCTGCTCTCTCTCACACACACACACACTCACACACACACATACACACACTCACACACATTCTCTCTCTACTATACCTCCTCCAGCACTCCGTCTTATCTACCCCCTCCCCCATGGCCACTTGATGTCGCCCTCGTAAGGACAAACTAGACCTGTAATGCTTCCCACCATCACGGTCTAACTGAAGGTGACAACACAGATATCCTGGTAACTGTCAACAACGACCGTGTGTATGTACAGTGTGTATCAGGGGCGGATCCAGGAGAGGGGCCCTGGGGGTCCAGATCCCCCTTTTCATCAGAAAATTCAAATCCTTTTCTTTAATGCAGTATTGTACTCATGCGTTTTTGTACAGTAAAATTAATTACTCTTGACCTCAGAATATCTCCTATTATCTAGTGCCTCACAATGGCACAACTTCTTGGACCTCCCTTTTTATATTCCTGGATCCACCTCTGTGTATGTATGTATGTATGTATGTATGTATATCAGTGAGTCAGGAGGAAAAATATCTGAATACAAAGCCCAATGATTAAAAACATTGTTGTCAAGTCTGTTTGGCCTCAAGACATAACCTCGCGCCACCAGCCAATCATTACACAAAGGTAAGGTCCCCCACACGTCAGCCAATCATCACACAAAGGTAAGAAGGTTCCCCACACGTCAGCCAATCATCACACAAAGGTAAGAAGGTTCCCCACACGTCAGCCAATCATCAAACAAAGGTAAGAAGGTCCCCCACACGTCAGCCAATCATCACACAAAGGTAAGAAGGTCCCCCACACGTCAGCCAATCATCACACAAAGGTAAGAAGGTCCCCCACACGTCAGCCAATCATCACACAAAGGTAAGAAGGTCCCCCACACGTCAGCCAATCATCAAACAAAGGTAAGAAGGTCCCCCACACGCCAGCCAATCATCACACAAAGGTAAGAAGGTCCCCCACACGTCAGCCAATCATCACACAAAGGTCCCCCACACGCCACGCTCTAGACCGCTAAAACAGCAGCTGATATTATGTTACTTTTGTGCATGAACCGGATACTGTACGCTGTTATGTGTCGGTGGTGGAGAACTGTGGCTGAGTTACCGAACAGCTGTGGATCTTTTTGTATATAACTTAATTTTTTATTATGGTTCCTGCTGTTTCTCTTTATATACTGTATATAAGAACTTTCTGTCCTTATCATACCTGCCTAACTATAAGTCTAGCATGACTCAATCTTAATTAAATATGTATATACCTATTGACATTATTTTGAAACTTTTACATCTCTACGTAAGGGGAGGGGGGACTCTTGAAACTTTTCTCTCTGCTTAATGGTTTGGGGGGGGACTTGTTCAGAATTAATATGGGTAAAACTTTCATAACAGAGGCACCACACACACACGGCTGTAACAGTTCAAAATCGATGTTTATGATATAATTAAGATATTTTGGTCTATCTTTATGATCTTTTTTCTGTTCTTGATTTCTTACTTTGAACTTTGTACAGTCGCTCAAAAAAACTATCTCTACTGGGGTGATCGATGAATTTCAGAATGAACACTGAGACTCCTGTTGTCTCGGTAAGGTTGTCAAAATTCTTCCTTCGTTGTGTCATATTTATTCAACACAATTTTGTATTGATAGTTTTTGGAGTGACTGTATTGTACATATATTTTCCTGACTTACTATAGATCATAATTACACCTGTTGTATATAATTACTCTCTTGTATTATGATAGCCTATGTAAATATTGCCAGGGAGCTCAAGTAACCAATGTAGTTTTAGAGAATCCAGAGCACCGTGATATTTGTTAACACTGGATAAAGACTTAACTCCCATGGCAAATTGATACCATAACGAGGGTACCAATCTATCCTTATCAAAGTTACATAATACAGTAAATAGTCTTTATCCAATGTAAATAATACCCACGATGCTATGGGTACCAGATGTAAATAAATGTACACTCGGTAAAAAAAGGTATCTTTCACAAGGGTCCCCATGAATTTGGAAGTGAACAATCCTGTTGTCTCGCTCGGGTTGGTAGGCGTGATTAGGAGACATTTCCTATCTATTATGGTAGGCCTAATTTAGTTATTTCATTCAAAATATACAATTAGTTCGTTGCATTATGATTGGTTAATAACAGTAAGCCTCATGAGCCTTTATCAAAGACCTTCATTCATGGTGTCATTTTATTTCGCACAAAAATTATAAAGATAATTTATTTTACAGAGTGATACAAGGAACTAAGGTCACCAATGTAAATACAGTGTAAAAAATAGTGTAAATATCCTAAGACTAACTGCCGTGTCCGCCTCTCCCTCCCCCCGCCGTACACGCAGGCACCATGATCCCTCCGGCTTCTCATCTTCTTCGTCTGGCAGCGGCTACGACTATGACCAAAGCTCATACACCGCCTATAGAGCCCTGGACGAAGCTGCCAAGAAGTACCAATAAACTCACACACCTGTACCTATATTCCCCACACCTGTAACCATCTTCCCCATACCTGTACCTATCTTCCCCACACCTGTACCTATCTTCCCCACACCTGTACCTATCTTCCCCACACCTGTACCTATCTTCCTCACACCTGTACCTATCTTCCCCACACCTGTACCTATCTTCCCCACACCTGTACCTATCTTCCCCACACCTGTACCTATCTTCCCCACACCTGTACCTATATTCCCTACACCTGTACCTATCCTCCTCACACCTACAAACATAACCTAGAAATATTACTCACAATTATGACTCACAACCATGATCTAAACTATAACCCACCGATATTAATTACAACCATAACATACGGACGTGATTTACAACCATAACCTAACATGACTAATAACCATAACCTATAACTATATTATTCAATAATTACCATCTTTTCTATAACTCTAAATTACAGTCATTATCTACAACTTTAGTTACAACCATAACCTAAAATCAAAACTTCAACAACTGTAGTTTATCAAATCATGACCTACAACCATTAATCCTGGCAACCAGCATACAAACCATCATTTGTACTGTACCTCTACAACCAAGAAATAAATATTTAACTACAACCGTAACCTAAAACTTATCACATCTACAACCATGACCTACAACTATGACGTAAACCTACAACCACGACCTCTACACGATGGCTCACAGGCATAACCTACAACCATGACTCATAAAACTGAAGTACAACTTTAATATTAGAACCATGACAAACTGGGTCCTGTTCATTAAAACCCAGACGAATAACAACCCTGACTCTCACAACCCTGACACTCCTAAACCTGAATCTCATAACCCTGACACGAAACATATGACTCACAACCCTGACTGACACACAACTCAGATCCTCACAACCATGACACACAACGCAGACTCACAACCCTTACACACAACCCAGACTCCCACAACCCTGACACACAACCCAGATCCCACAACCCTGACACACACAACCCAGATCTTCACAACCCAGACTCTCATAACCCTGACTTACAACCCTGATTCATATAACCCTGACTCACAGCTCTTGACTAACACAACCCTGGCCCTCACAACCATCAAGAACGTGAGGTAATAAAGCCTTCTAATAGTTATAATACGTTGTACAGTACAGTATTATATAACATGTTAATAAATTATTGTTATTTACGGAGTTGTATCAATGAGTCTCTCCTTCTGGTTAGGGTCGAGTAGCTGTATCAATACTGAGTTAGTTACTCATGAGTGTGTCTGTCTGTCTCTCGTTCTCAAATTCAAAAACTTATGTCGAGAAATTTGTCATCCTGGTCGTGTGTGTGTATGTAAACCTCAGGAGATCAGCGCTTCCCAACTCAACGATGTAAATACTGCATAAGTGTATAATGATACGGAGAAGTGAAGGAAAACGAAAGAAAAATACCAAAAAAATAGGAATAAACAAAGAGAATAAGTGAGTCAAATATGAAATGATTAAATAAAACAAAAAAGAGTAAAATACAATTATAAGACCCAGAGAGGAAGAGGAGAAAAAATAAAATGATAAAATACACAAAATGTGTAAAATGATACTTTTGATATATTGTAAAACACAGTTATTGTTGTACACAGAAGCAATATCTGTCTGGCAGGAATTGGTACCAAGTCACTCGTCAAGTGCTGAGAACTCACTAATATTATGAGGTAAATACAGCACATACTATAAACCTTATCACACATTGTTTTCACTATGTAAATATACCGTGTTAGTTATTACCCATTGTTATTGGTCCAAGTTATTGTATTCATAAAGACGAACACACACACACACACAAGATACTGACGTGCAAACTTTCTTATACACACACTCAACATACTCATGTGCAAACTTTCTTATACACACACGACCCCAGGGTGAGTTACAATAGCTTCATAATGCTCCACATCCGTAACTGTGGCACCTCACGCCCCGCCAGCCACCGGGTCACTAGGTAAGTCGGCGCCCCACACACCCTTATACGGTCACTTGTAATCTTCACCTGGTGTGTTATGAGGTGTATCTTGACCTCTATCATCCATATATTAACAGCCTAAGTAGAGTAATTAGACAGGTGGGGGAGACCTTCTTCGTGCTGATACTCCACGACAGGTGTTGGTGACCTGTGACCTCCGGGAGAGTTTCTCATCAACGTGGCAACAACAGCAAGTGTTCACCCGCTGGGGGGGGGGGGTGTTATTCAGTACAGTGGAGTCCTTCTGGTGGTGGTGATGGTTGAGGGCCTTATGATTCTCTGAGACAAGCGTGTGTGTGTATGTGTCAGATAGGTCTTTAGACAAAATAAGCTTATAATATATAGTCAATATTTTCTTGTGCGGGAAACTATTTTTAGGTCCGTCACCTGCAGCTCTCCCTCCAGGTGACGACAAACAACAACAGCAGGAGGGGACCCACCTGACACCGTTGTTTACCGCACCTCATAATTATGTTACGTTACGGGATGGTTGTGGGTTACTGTCACTCACAGTTATAGCGGAACAGCAGGTGTGGTGCCTTCCTTCCCTCCCGTCCCGTATCTTGCAGGTTTTATTAGTTACCCTTAATATACAACTCTTGTATCTCTCGTCACGTCACACACAGAGGCCAACATTCATCCCCTTAAAAAGTTAATAAAGTGAACCCAGCCAGTTTGCCTTCACCTCAACCATAACAAATGTTAATACTGTACTCGGACTTATCACCTTAAGTATAACACATCCCTGCGTCTTCCTTGGTGTACTGGACACTCTCTGATGCTGGGGTTAACGAGAGACTGCTATGGGTAATAATAGCGTTTATTATTATATAAATTACACACGAACAATTATATCATTATTATTCCCGAAGACGCCACAGGACCACCTTTGTTTAACACCTCAGGAAGAGAAGAGCCGCAGGGGAGATGTTCTACACCAGGTGTGGCAGCAGGTGAGTGATGATACTACTGGTGGAAGTTTTAGATGAACTAGGTGAGACACGCGGGGTACTGGGTAGGGGTGCTATCTGAGGCGTGGTGCTGCTGCTGCTAGTGACGCTAGTGGTGGTGGTGCTGGCGCTAGTGGTGGTGGTGGTGGTGGTGCTGCTAGTGACGCTAGTGGTGGTGGTGGTGGTGGCGGGGCTAGTGGCGGCGGTGGTGGTAGGGTGGGGGGACGTTGTAGGCGCTGTCCACAGAGAAACAGTAAAGAAGGATCACGTTTTAATGTATATTGTCGGTGTAAAGTCATTAATACCGGAGTCATTACGATAAGAGTTATATAAATACTTATCTAAAAATGTTGGATTATATGACTATACTTATTATAATGAACTTAAAGATATATTTGTATAAGTAAGTTTATGGCAAATAATTTTAGTTCACAAAATATAGCGGCAATAATATTTTTAGTGAAATATTTGGGGGAAACTTCACAACTAAAGTATAGGTTAAGAGGAGACATCTGTCGGCCTCATAAAATAGGCCTGTTGTCTCACCACCTGAACATCTCCCTTATGTTCATGTGAGGCGGACAGCAGTAGTTATGCTCACGTTAGGTCGTTGTGAGGGTGACGACCGCCGCCGTACAGAGCGAGGCCGCCCAGCAGTACAGCCCCAGCCATGAAGTGAGCCAACACGCCGATGGTCACCCGAGACTCTAAGTCACCGTTGATATCTGAGACTAACTGCGTCTTGTCCTCAGTCTTCTTCAGGGCTGCTTGACCTTTGTTGACCTGAGCCTTATCAGTGACCTGCGCTTCACCAGTGACCTGAGCCTTACCAGTGACCTGGCTCAGCGTGGTCATCAGCAGTAGCAACAGCCAGGCTAACTTTCCTATCAGGAACAACCGGTGTATAGCTTAAGTTACTGTGAGTCGACATTAAGAGTATATGTGTGTGTGTGTGTGTGTATATGTGTGTGTGTGTATGTGTGTATGTGTTTGGAAGTATGCTTTAGTAGACAAATGTAAAACAAAAAATATTTATACATACATACATACATACATACATACATACATACATACATTTTCTTGGCCTACTCACATGACTTACAGGGAGTTACAAACACAGGCAGATAAGGAAAAACAAAACAACTCTTGAGAATTACTGAGCGGGTCAACCTCTTCCTGACACACCGTCACCGACCTGCTGCCCACCGGCCAAGGTGACGCCTTCACCACCACAACACTCATTTAATAACATACCTGGCCTTAGTAAACATAACTGACGTTAATAACACACCTGGCGTTAACAACATACTTGGCGGTAACTAAATAACTCACTAGTTAGACAACCTACCGTAACTAAACATGGTGCTGGGCGTGTAGAAGACCGAAGTTAAAAGTTAAAGATAGTCTTGTTATTGGTGGCTTGTATATTGTAAATATACTCTCGGGAAGTGTGTGTGTGGTTGTAGTGAGTGAGGGTTGTTTTGGCTCAGGCTGTAGTTATGATCGGTGTCTACTGTAGGAGGAGCAAGAGTTGAAGGTGTGGGTACTGACGGAGGGAAGAGTGATGTTTCCTGTGCTTGTCTGGGTGTTAGGGACGTCACACGGCAGCAGCGGCAGGCAGTATACTGGTGCCGCAGCTGCCGCCACCCACTTTATGTGCACACACACACACACACACAGCCAACCATCAACCTCAAAGCAAATTTTTGAATATTTATTTTTGGCGAAAATAATGAACACCTGACCGGCGACCCTGATACACCTCCTCTGTTCTGAGAAGCATGGAACAGAGCAACATGGGCTGGGTGTAGTGTTGGGGTACTGTGGACTTGAATTGAATTGAAACAGTTTATTTAGCCAGAAAAACACAGATACAGAGTGGATAATAATAACAATATTAACATGGCTGAGCCAGTTGAGAACCTGAGCTCTCTTTGAGGCACCTGATATATACTATACATTTATCTCAAGGAAGAATTATGTAACATTTAGTATCATCTGGAATAGTACAATAGCATGGTAGTAATAAGTACATCTCATAGTGTTACCACTGTTATCACTTCAATATTTATTTATTTTATTATTTATTATTTTAATTTTTTATTTATTTATTTTTTTAATATTATTTTGTTTGTTTATTTATTTATACATACATATACAAATACACACACACACACACACATATATATATATATATATATATATATATATATATATATATATATATATATATATATATATATATATATATATATATATATAAATTAGAGTGGAATTTAAAAATATAAGTATAATGGGGGAGCAGTACAACCTGGGTTGTACAGTAATAAGGTTGAACAAGAGGACAGAGCTTTCAGGATTATGTCTAGTTGGCAATTATGTTTATTGCAATGGTAATTACTTATTTATTTACATGATAATTTCCGATAAAACGGTTTGGATAGTACAATAAAAGCAGGTACTGTAAATATAGTAAGTGTTACAAGAACTATTAATACTTCGACAATAAATATTTTTTTCAGAGATGATTTAGAGGAAGGGAGCGTAGTGTTTGCTCGGATGTGTGGGGGGTAAGTTGTTCCACACCTTCACACCGTGATATTTTATGGAGGTCTGGGACTGAGAGGAGCGCATGGGGGGTGGTCTTAGTAGCTCTGGGTACCTCAAGTTGTATCTCTGATTATTCCGGAACTAGAAGTAATTATTGTCAAGCAAGTGATTGATAGATTTGTAAACAAAGAGGGCACAGCAGTAAGTGTTAATATCCTCGAATTTTAAAAATTTCAATATGGCAAATTTTTCGTTTGTGTGATCGGTTTTTTTCAAGTAGGTCATTGTTCGTACAACTCTCTTTTGTGCAGTAACCAGAGATTGTGTTTTTGAAGAGCCAGAGGCCCCCCATAGTGTGTGACAGTGTATCAGGTGTTGGTAAACAAGATCATAATAGATTTCTTTCATTGCTGTGAGAGTGAGTGACTGTCGAGTGTGATACATGATACCGCACTGTTTATTGACTTTACTGTGAATGGCTTGTATGTGATTTCTCCAGTTAAGTTTCTCATCAACTATAACTCCGAGGTGTTGGGGTACTGTGGACTGGTGTGGTGTTGGACACTGTGGGCTGGGTGTGGTGTTGGACACTGTGAGCTGGGTGTGGTGTTGGGGTACTGTGGGCAGGTGAGTGGTGTAGGTGTGGAATAGTAGGTGTGTATATAGTGTGGTATAGCAGGTGTGTATATAGTGTGGTATAGCAGGTGTGTGTATAGTGTGGTATGTGTGTAGTATAGCAAACATGCAGCAGAGCAAGTGTGTAATATAGTGGGCGTGTAGCATAGGAAGCGTATAGTACAGCAGACGGGCGGCAGCGAGGCGAGAGTGGACTATCACAGCAGAGCATGGGGTGGTGGTGGTGATGGTGGTAGAGCAGGGGAGGTAAAGTACACTACCCACAACATCTCTCCTTCACACATAATGAGGGAGAGAGTCAGACAGACATCATTACCCTACGTTTAGTGGTCAACTCTGGCACACTTACCTACACACACACACACACAATACATACATGTGGGGGAGAGAGAGCGTCATGCGGTCAGACAGAGAGAAAGAGTACAGAGAGTTGGGTAGGGGGAGGAAGAGAGACTTGTATGATGGCAGATAATTAGGCAAAAAGGTGGATATAATAGGAGGTTATAATACAAAGTTGAGAAAAAGTGAAGCAGAGATCCAACACACAGACACCATTATGTAGACTACAGTATAAACGACACCTGGAGAGCTCAACACACCTGTTAATGTCTCTTATATGATCCTAACAACAACGACCACAAACATAAAGGTAATGGCTGGTTACACGGGGCATCATGTCTTCCGTCTCATTACTGTGATAAAGCTGATCCACAGGTTGGTTATGGGATCTCATTTTTGTTGTTATAGTGTGTTATAGTGCTGTATGGCCAGGGTTAAATAACTATACTCTCACAGACGTACACACTATCACTGCAGCCGCTCGTTAGTATCAACATATAGTACATGTGCTTCCCGTTCACCTGCCCCTGAATGTCACCTGACCATAGTGAAGTTCCTATGGTCCCAGCTTCTAGTGATAGTTGTCTACTCGTCTCCTCCCATTTCTTTCCGCTTTTCCCCTCCCCCCTGCCTCCCTATACACCCCCTACCTCCCTATACACCTCCCTCCCCCTCCTTACCCTCACTGAGAGAGAGACGTACCACCTGACGCAGTTTATGACTATATAAACAGAGGACTGACGGAGGCGGTCATCAGTCGTCCAGGACCAGGCTTTGTATTACCTTCCGCCTCCTGCTACGTCGCCTTCACCCCCTACACAACACCCTCACAATGGCCTTCAAGGGTACTGTACCTCCTCCGCCATAACATTGTTGACTTACAGCTGTACAGACGCTCCGAGATTATTGTTTTTTAAAAGTGTGATCATAATACTCGGAGACTTACAGTGTGTTGGGTGATTAAGACGTCAGGTGCACCCATCAAGGAGTCTTATAAACACCTGTATTGTTCTCTCATTATCAGTACACAGGAGGTAGTGTAGCGGCCTATCAACCGAACGGCTTTTTAATTAAATGACGTGATTATTGTAAAGAGATAAACGGTGTTATTAGATCATTATATCACGATACTTGTAACAGAGAAGTGTCATTGTTCTGTTAAGAGAGAGAAACAATGTTGGTCCCCGTTAACAGTAACAGATCATACTGTTGGATCTGTTTTGTGGACTGTTTTATCCTGTATACAAAATATATTTTATACCGGTTTTGTGACTATGAAATTAATACTTTTAAACTCTCTAAACTAACCTCACTCCCTCCATCTATTACCTACACAGGTATGCTCGTGTTTCTGCTGCTGGCTGGAGTCATCACTCTCGTTGCCTCAGAGAATACCAAGTCCCAGAATAAGAAGCGGGGAGAGGAGGGTCGCTTCCTCTTCACCACCGACGAAAACCAGTCCATTACCATCGGCACCGCCAGCCTCACCACCTTGGCCTTGCTGGGTGTCGTGGCTGTTCTCGCCGCCGCCGCCGCCATAATCCTGCTGCCCCAAGACGACGCTTCTTCAGGCTACGCGTCTGCCACGAGGTGAGCCCTGACAACCTACGTCAGTTTGTTTACGTTTATCTTCTTCTTTATCGTCTTCCAGTCACGTTTCTTCTTCTTCACACCTGCTAGACTTCATTAACTATACCACCACTATCCCCACCACACTAATACCACTATCCTCCTCCTCCACAGCGCCTACGGCGCCACTGCCATCCATCGCTCCCTGGACGACGCCGCCGCCAAGTATGAGCAGACAGACACACCTGTTGATCGACACGCCCGCTGATCGACACACCCGCTGATCGACACACCCGCTGATCGACACACCCGCTGATCGACACACCCGCTGATCGACACACCTCCCCAACCTCTCTCTGTTATCACCACCACGTTCAATTATTGTTGTCTATTATTTATTTAAATTATATTTTTTATATTGAACTTAAAATAAAAATTTAACTAATTATTGTCTTATATCCGGCACATCCTGACCAGTCATATGGTGTGGTTCATAGTGTGGTTCATAGTGTGGCTCATGATGTGGTTCATGGTGTGGTTCATAGTGTGGTGCCTGTGATTTGCCCTGCATGGGGGGGGGGGGCTAGTTTATTGGACACCCTTACATCCTGCACAAGGCGAAGCAGCAAGGTGTTTACAGCGGCCAACAGGTAACGAGCAGACTGAGTTACACGCTTGGCCTCTGACTCACGCAACTAGGGACACACAAGCCCTTTGATGAAGACGGTTTAACCCCTTGATGATTACAACCTAACCATCGTCCTCAGAGCTATATCTTAAACCACCGTCCACAGTGCTATAACTTAAACCATCGTCCTCAGAGCTATAACTTAAACCATCGTCCACAGTGCTATAACTTAAACCATCGTCCACAGTGCTATAACTTAAACCATCGTCCACAAAGAGCTATTATTTGAGGGGGGTTGATGTAGGCCAGCCGCTAAAACATTTCCTCACCAACAATAACACGCCTATAAACCTCCTCTGGTGTTGCCCAATGCATCAGCACTCAATAACACTTAACTCTTTTTATTACATTACATTCAAACTATCTCATAACCTAACACAAGCTAGCCTACACTTCTCCATTAATAGTTGCCCCTCGGGTATCAAGGATGGTCGGCCCAAGGGCCACCTAGGCTTGAATTTGTTTAAGGTGTAGAAGCTGTCGCCAACACAACAACCACACCCTGAGCTAACGGGCTGCATGACCCAGTATCAAGGAATAGTCCGAGAAGACCGGACAACTCGCCAACTGCACTGGCTAACCATTACCCCGGAATACGATCCGCAAATAGATTAACATCCAGGTCCCCAATTAATGTTGGACAGACAGAGGCAAATGGCGTAAAGAAACTTGCCAATAGTTTCACCCTGCCCGGGGATCGAACCTGGGTTCACTCGCTTGCGAGGCGAGCATGCTGACCATTACACCACAGGTCGCCACACCTCCTCCATTAGTAAAGTGTCGAGATAATTTTGGAAAGATCGACGGACAAACAGCATAATATTTTCTCCAATTCGTAATTATTCTCAAAATGGACCAAAACACATCGAAATTCTTCCATTTAAGGAAGACTTGTAAAATTTAAAGGTGACTAACAGGTGGAGGAGGAAGACAACATAACAGAGGAGGAGGAAGAAGAGATGAGGAAAGAGCTGACGAGTAGAATTTTACTAGGAGGCAGGAAGGAGGAGGGTATATTACCGCCTAAGGCGTGGAAGTGGCGGTTGGGGCGCACCGAATGCCTGCCCCTTACGTCTCCCAGAGCCCCACCAAGCAGTAGGCCAAGGTCGTGGGCAAGTGGGTGGGTGGGTGGTACCGAAGATGCTCCACCCAATCCATGAATTCCTTCCACTCACTTGTTCCTGTCAAACTACTCCCACTGTTGAGGGTTACTACACAGGTTACCAGTAAGAATGATTCCTTATAACGTAATCACAAGTTTGTTATTGACTGCCACTAGACCTTGTCGATTATAACTTTTATAGTTTAATACCATCCACCACAACCATCTACAACACCCACCCACCACAACCATCTACAACACCCATCCACCACAACCATCTACAACACCCACCCACCACAACCATCTACAACACCCACCCACCACAACCATCTACAACACCCACCTACCACAACCATCTACAACATTTATCCGTTTGTTTGTCAGGTCACACCATGCAACAGTACCGAGTGTTGTAAGTACGGCACACACACACAAAACCTTATATCTTGGGTTAAAAGCTAACTTACTTAAAGGATAATATTGCTTATTTTAAAGAGAATAATGCTGTTTATTTTACAAGGACCATGACTTCTTTTACTATCGTACTAAAAGTAATATTCAAACCATGGTAATCCCTCTAATGTTTCTGAGTCTATTCCAGGTGCACTCTCTCTCTCTCTCTCTCTCTCTCTCGTGATAATATATACTTAACTTAGGAAACCACACAAGTCTAATAGTAAAGACGTAGGTAAATAATGATGATTTAACGTTTCAATGTACCATTCTTGTGACCTACACTGACAGCATCACAGCGAGAACTGACACACGACCAATAAGCCTCTACTCCTTAGCCCGGGGCGTCAGGGGCAGCCGAGGTGCTTGTGGTGGAGACGGGCAGGGAGGGGACCAATAGGCTGCTTGTCCTACCTTGACCTATAAAAATTTGGGTAGTGAGGGAGGGGGGGAGGGACCTTCCTGCCTTATATAAGTGAGCGAGGGACAAAGGCCAGGCACTAGTCGGTCAGTGCTTTAGCTCGTCCCACAAATCTCCTGACTCAAGCACAGTGTCAGCCTTTTACATCTGCGTCAGGCTTTTCCTCAACCACTCTGTCAGCTACCAAGTCAAACAATCGTTTACTATCCTCCGTCAACCACCTCGTCATGGTTCTAAACGGTATGGAAAACAGTGACACATATATGACTTATTGTAGAAACTAATAGTGCATCTTTGAATGGAAAAATATCCCAACTGTTGACGTATATCTGAAAGAACAAGTGTACAGTATACAGTGTTTAACTGGTTCAGCGACAATAAGGGCGTTGATTGTTCTTATTAGTAGAATTTTGTAGATGCATGATGATCTTACATGTATATTAGCGACTGTCCGCTCCAATACTCGACCATGAAGGAGTTAAAGAGAGACAATACAAAGTGACACAGATGTACAGTATATTTGAGTGCGAGGAGGGCAGCGTGCAGGGTCAAGGCAGCGTGTGGGGTCAAGGTAGCGTGTGGGGTCAAGGTAGCGTGTGGGGTCAAGGTAGCGTGTGGGGTCAAGGTGGGGTCAAGGTAGCGCAGGGTCAAGCAGCGTGCAGGGTCAGGCAGCGCAGGGTCGTGCAGGGTCGTGCAGGGTCGGGCAGCAGGCAGCGTCAGGTAGCGTGCAGGGTCAGGCAGCGTGCAGGGTCAGGCAGCGTGCAGGGTCAGGCAGCGTGCAGGGTCAGGCATTGTTGATATACTGACAAATGAATAAGTCATTTGTATGTTGTCAATCTAATTATATTAAGGACTAACTTTATTGAATAAAAATTTTCAGTGGATTCTTGAACAATTAATTAATATTATTACCGTATATACCAACACTATACTGTATATACTTAACAATAAACCAACAATTAGTCTGACCACTCATACTGAGTATCTTGTACCCACAGGCCTCCTGAGCGTACTACTGCTGGTGGCGCTGCAGCAGGTCACCGCAGATGACAAAGTCACTGTGGCACCAGACACAGACGACGCCCCAGACATCAGCCTCGCCACCCTCAGTAACCCGCTGGAGGGCATCACTCTTCCTGACAATGTCCTCAGTATTGGCTTCGAGTCCGTCGGCGTGTTCCTCCTGTTGGCCGGGTTGGTCGCCTTCATCGCCTACGTTGTGTTGGGTATTGACAAGACTGTGGCCACCGCTTACTCTTACTCCGCCCCCACGTGAGTCTCGGCACATGTGTGTGTGTTGAGGAGTACATGTGTGTATTGAGGAGCACATGTGTGTGTTGAGGAGCTCATGTGTGTAGTTACCTAGTATCATTACCGTGTTAATTAAGGGTTAGTCTCCATCAAAGTGGGTTGGTCGTGATTATCAGATGGCAGTTCTGTATGTAATAATAATAATAATAATAATAATAATAATTAACAGTTCACGTGGTGCAGTAACTTGTCCTCGGGTGTTGATATGAAGGACCTCACGTGGTCATGGAGACACCGGGTGGTGTCACAGTACCTCACTCTCTGCTAGGTGGTGTTGTGTTGTTTCGTAGTCAGGTGTAAAGCCGGCCCACTGTTGTTCCCAAGGCGGTGATTAACACCTCCTCATCAGAAGATAGTGGTTGGTTCCCAGGGGTGCTTATCTCACTGGTGGGTTGCGGCTCTCGCTGGTACTGTCTAGTGCCGAATTCACTAGCTTAACACTGTTCATCACTGATCCCACTTCTTTCCGAAACGAAATTGTCACTTTTGATTATGTTGATATCCCAGTGGTGAGGATGAGTAGGGGAGAGGGACTTGAAGAATGGCCGAACATAGCCGAGGGGGGCCGCTGCGCAACAGGAGCAGCGCCTGATAGGTCAAAGATGTAGAGTGTGTGTGTGTGCTACACTAAATAGGGATGGCTGCCAAATAAGCGTCGTTTACTATCATAACAAATAATGCTACAGCAGTCAGGTCAAGTCAGATTACAATACGTTTCGTTACGTTAGGTTATTGGAAGAAACTATTACTTTATATGTATTTGTATGATATACATGATCGTTTATTGTCAGTCAGAAGTTAAAGAAAACAATAAATACACAGAAGTTATCGGTAATAGGCAATTATTCCTATTTAGTGTTACAGTCATAATAATTATTAAAAGATGTTAAGTAACAACAGGTAACTGGGAATATGTCGACCTATATACAGTTAGATACAATACAAGAGCTTATATTAAACACTGCCCTGGTCCCATACAGAGCCTCCAACACCCAGTACACCTCCTCGGGTGGCAGGTACACCGACCCAGCGTCCGGATACACCCAGGAGGAGACCTACAACTTCCACAGGAACATTGAGGAGGCGGCCAGCAAGTACCAGTGAGACGGAGGAGCCACCGACCCGTACTGTAGGACGAGGCTAACCTTAGCATGGTGGTGAGAACGAGTAAGGAGTCCTGCCTTCAGCCACTACACAGATGACAATATGACACATCATCTCTTGTTTTGTTTTATATTAACTTATTGTGTAACGTGTAAATAAATGAATAGAAAGTTATTTATTATTTCACATCCTTTTGTCTGGTCTAATTATCCCCTCGGTTATTTGTGCCTGTGGTAATGTAGGTGATTATAAAGTAG